ATTTAATTTATGAGACTATAGGCACAATATAGTGTCTAGTTTTTCTTATCCTTTACACATAAGATACATTTTTATCAATTTATATTAATTCATCAAAATTATGTAGCTTAACACGGAAAAAGTCGAAAAATAATAATCAAACAGGAATGTGTATTGATAAACCAACAAAATGCTCGAGTGGAAAGAGGGTCAATTTTTTTTTCCACAAAGAAACCGAAGCTGCTATGAATGAGCAAATAAGTGTGGAACTGATGGCATTTTATTATTATTTATCGATGGCATGATCTCTTTTATTTCTTTCAACTTTAAACAAGATACAATTTATACAAGAAATTAGGATTTTACACAAATCATAGATTTTAATTTTTTTAATTACTATAATTATAAATTGCCTTTATAACATGTGTCCTTTTGATATAATTAAAATTGATTAATAAAATTAAAATTAATTTAATTGCTATTTTATAAATTTATATTTCATTGTATAAAGGCTGCATATTTCGGTCGCGTGGACGTTGCTTTACCCGGCTGCGAGTCATTCTTTATGCAGATGCATCATGAAGAGCATGAACATGCCTTGAGATTTTTTAACTATATAAAAATGCGAGGCGGCAAAGTGCATTTATACGATATATCGCCGCCAAATGATCAAGATTGGAAATGCCCATTGCATGCATTCAAAGTAAATTTATTTTGAATAATCGAATCTAATCTTGTAATTTAAGATGATTTTAAATAATGTAATATATATATTTTTTATATGATACATCCCTTAAGAATTAATAAGAGTCTTTCATTTAGTAATAGCTATTCAGGTGTATAAATTAATTCTTTTGTCTATGTAAATTTTCTGTAGACAGCATTGCAATTGGAAATCGAAGTTGGTCAAAAACTAGTTGCGGTAAATGCTATAGCGGAAAAGCACGGTGATCTGAATGCGAGTGATTTTATCATCACCGGTTTCATGGAAAATCAGATGAAAAGTGTTAACGAATTTGCAAGATTAACGACCATATTATCGGGTGTTGGAGATCAAGCATTGGCGCGATTTCTGTTTGATAAGGATCTACTCGACAATTATGTCATGTCCGATTTCAATGTTCTAAAAAACAAATCTCAGTAAAGAAAATTTGATAAATAACTGCATAGGTCCTCTTGTGAAAGTATTTTTTTATAAATAATATTCCTATATTGTATATTATATATTATATCGATTTTTATTCTTTAGAATTGTAGTATTCTTTTATAAAATTGTCTGCGAAAAATTTGTGTATTCAAGATTAAAATTGACGGAAAACGAAAGTCTCGTTAAGTCGTAATCACACTAATAATTGTGCAATTGTGATTGGCAATTACTTTTAACCAATCAGAACTAAGCAATCGCCATTGCTTTGTCCTAACTAGTTGAGAAGTAATTAACAATCGCCGTTCATAACCGTTAGCGCAAAAAGTGCAAAAGGTTAAGTAATACGAATAGATTTATATTGTAAATGCAAATAAAAAATGAATGTTACACTCCCCTCCCCCCTCTCCCTGTAAATTTATCAGAATTATTAGATGCTATGGAAATTGAGCACAATTGAGTACAATTGAGCATGCTTGAAAATTGAGTTGAAAATTATAGCGTTTTTCATTGGGAAAATTAGTGCACATTAATGTAATGGAGTATAAATCTGTTTATATATTTTCAGTGTTAATAAATCCTTTTAAGGTTATGAAGTTTTTGTGACAGCAAAGGATATGTGATTAGGATTAAATTATTTATATTAATACAATAAATTAGAATAGATTTACATTTCAATTGCACTCAATATGCATCATCAGTGTTGCACTAGTCTAGTGGAAAACGCTATTAGGATATATTTTACATGCGATCTTTATAAAAGAAATATGATTGGATAATTTTCTTTATGCATATGTTATACGGTTATGCAAGTTGTGTGAAAATACCCTTAGAGTTTGGCTAATTTGGGAAATCGAATAATTTTAATATTATACCGCTTTTTCCAATTAGTCAAATTCCATTAATCAATATACGGACATGGTCTTCGATCTTCTCTCACTCCAATACAATTTAATGAAAACGCATACCTAATACATTACACGTGACACATGTAAGTGGGGACATAAGGAACATGGCCGCTATGGTTTCGTTGATTTGTTAGTGTTAGTTGGACAAGGGGGGTCAAGGTATTTAATCAAGGTTGCGATAGCGATTGCTCATTGCTGACAGTGCACGTTAATTAATCGCGTCTCAGCATCATTAAATTCATGACAACGAGATTTGCCACGTATTTCCGGGACGTCAGACGATCTTACTTGTCTCCATTTTTTTTCATTTTTTTTCTATACAAAAAATTTCCTTGCACGGTGTGAGAAGATACTTACGTGATTTCCCCTCCCCCTCCGTAGTTCCTTTCTTCCACCTGTAGATATAATTTATCTATCGAAAGAATACATCATTCTTTGCTTTATTCTCGAACGTGCCCTCGCGTAATTAATCTCAAAATCTGAAGGAGTGATTCACGCGCGGATTTTGCTAAGAAACGAATAGACAAAAAGCAGCGACAAAAAATTTCACTCTTCGCTGCCGGGTAAGTTTGTACGATGGCGAGTGATCTGTCAAGCGGCTGCACGGAGACAATCGACATCCTGGACGATGAGAAAGAAGAAGGCGAGATTTCGTTGGAGGATGTTAGTTCGTCTGAAGAAGGTGGAATGGGTCACTTGACTAGTAACTACGTTGTTGGCAGAATGCGTGCATGTCCTGATTGCAAATCTTGGGGCGATTGTGCTACCTGGTGTAATGCACCGTATCATCCTAAGAACCAGAGCAGGAGAGGTAAAGTCATACTGGACCTCATGTTCGTATCTGTCGTCCAAGATATTTCTTTTTTCTTTGATCATTTTTCATACTTGTGTTTGAAGTTAAGGCTTGATTTCATCCATGTAAAATTAACTTTAATTTTAATTTAATTTAAAGTTTATTCTTTTAAATCTTAAAATCCAATTTAATCTTTTCTAATTCTAAGAAACAGTGAATTCGAATGAAATCGAGAATAAAGTTAATGTTATATTGATAGAACTGGATCTTTTGGAAGAGATTCAAAAGCATTTCCTCTTGGATCTTTTGGTTTATTTATGCATATATTTTGTTTCTATATATTTATATCTTCAAAATCTATATATATATATATATAGATTTTGAAGATATAAATATAATATAAAAAAACAATTGTTATAAAATGATCATAAAGAGCACATATAAGAGTCAAGTTAACAAAATAATGTAAATAAAAATAATAATAATTTTTACACTCATTTTTGTTAAATTGATTCTTATATGCCCTTTACAATCATTTTATTGTAAATTTTTAATATTAAGAATCCTTTATTATTTTATATGATTTGAATAATTGTTATGATTTCCCAATTACTCCCCTAAGAAATGTATTCTGATATAGATTTCTTTGATTTCTGTCATTACAATATTTTATGTATTGCTTTTAACTTTCCCACACAGTACAAATCTTCAAAAAACATCCTAAAAAAAGAGACATCCTTTGTCTTTTGAATCCTAAAAATGTCCCCAGGATGTCTCTTGGATAAAGTGTGTTATGTAGATTTCATTAATTATAATATAATCAGATAAAGAAATTTTATAGAGATTCCTATTTTAATAGAGTTATTTTTGAAAAAAGTCTTATTAGTCTGTATGTATATAAAGAAAAATATATCTTTCAATGAATAAATATAAGAGAATAGTAATTATTTGAACTAGTATCTTGTTTTAATCAAGTAGCAGTTAATCTTATTTTATAAGATCCAGTCAAAGGAAAGGAAAACCGTCATCATGTCAGAGAAACAGGATTTGCTGCAACAAAGCACATGGCATCGACATTACAAGAGAAAAATGATGACCTAGTACCAATCTCTAGCGACAGCGACATGGAAATCGTCGGTCTTACAGATACATCCAATCGATCAAAGGCCAAAGTAAAAAAGAAAAAAAGAAAAAAAAAGGAATATGAAACCCTCACTAACGATGAATTAATTTCTCCGAC